ACCCAAAGTGCAATCTCTATCAAAATTTGAATGAAATTTTATTCAGAATTAAACCAAAACAATCCTAAAATTCATAAGAAAACACAAAAGACCCCCCAAAGCCAAAGCAATCATGAGAAGAACAAAGTGGGAGACATTGCATTTCCTGATTTCAAGCTATATTATAAAGCTATAATGCATAATCAAAACAGTAGGTCATTGTTATAAAAACAGACACATAAACCAGAGAGACCAGAAACAAACCCCACATATATGGCCAGCTAATATGTCACAAGGGAGGCAAGAATACTCAATGGTAAAAAGTTAGTTTCTTCAATAAATGATGTTGGGGGAAAATTGGATATTCAAGTGCAAAAAAATGAAATTTGGCCCCTATGTTATACCACTCACAAAAATTAACTCAAAATGAGTTAGGATGCAAACGTAAACCATGAAACTGTTAAACATCTAGAGAAAAACGAAAGGCAAAAGCAATGAAAGTAAAAATCGACAAGTGAGACCACATAAAACTAGTTTTATTCTCCTTTCCTTTTTTTTCTTTTGTACAACAGCAACAAAAAAAGGCAGCATGTAGAATATGAAAAAATATTTGCAAACCATATATTTGATAAAAGGTTAATATCCAAAAAATACAAGCAACTCAACTCAATAACATAAAAACAAGCAATAAAAAAGTGGGCAAAGCACCTGAACGGACATTTTTTCAAAGAAAACATAAAAACAGCCAAAGGTATTCAATGTCACTAATTATCAGGGAAATTCAAATAAAATATATATATTTAATTGAACATCATTCAACTATTAAAAAAAAGGAAGGAAATCCTACCCATTGTAACAACATGGATGAATTTTGAGGGCATTATGCTAAGTGAAAAAGTCAGAGAAGCAAATACTGTATGAGCTCATTTATACGTGGAATCTAAAAACACTGAACTCACAGAAACAAAGAGTAAAAAGCTGGTTGCTAGGTCCAAAGGGTGGGGGAAGCGAGGAGGTGCCATTCAAAGCATAAAAACTTTCAGTTAATAAGATAAATATAATCTAGGTGTATAGTGTACAGTATGGTCACTATAAATAACAATACCATATTGAATACCTGAAAGTTGTTGAGAGTAGTAATACATAAAATAGTAATTATATGAGGTGAAGGATTTTTAAGTAACCTTATTGTGGTAAATAGTTCATGATATACGTGTATATCAACTCATCACATTGTATACCTTAAACTTACATAATATTATATGTCAATAATATCTCAATAAAGCCAGGAAAAAAGTTTCAACGCACCAATATGAGGCAAAAATTCTAATTCGTGTACTTTATCCCAGTTTTGCCTTCTAATATGTCCTGAAATAGATGGGAAGGAGTTGGAGTTAAGATGGAGGAGTAGTAGGGGACCCTGGGATTGTCTCACCCCCTAAATATAGCTGGATGAATATAAAATCATTTTGAACAACTATGAAATAGATTTAAGGATTAAGAAAATAATCTGGACAATTAAAGGGACAGAACATGGCAGATGTGAGGTTCTAAGACATGGATTGGGAGAGAGAAAAGCCATGGTGCTGCAGAGGAAAGGGAGCTCTTTTCATGGACAGAGGTCAGGGAAAGAAGAGGAGACAGGAAGAGAGAGTGGCTCACAAGGTTCATATAAGGTGCCATGGTGTGGGAATCCCTGAGTAGCACTGGAGGAGAATATTCCCCTTCCTGGCGTACTTTTGGAAGAGTGTATATTGCCTCTCCAAGGACAAAAGACCCACCGTGCACTGTTGAGTGACCATTCAACAACAGGGCTCAGAGGCACATGCAGAGGGCAGATAATCTGTTTGCAGCTTTTTTACTGTGCTTCATCGTAGACTCCAGATATCTGCATGGCTCATCAACTGCTTTTCTGGGACAAAGCAGTGCCAGGTGCAGTGCTGTGAGGCTCTCCTCCAGGCAAGGGAGCATGTCTGTGACTTGCAGGGTCCTTTAAGATTTGGTGTTTTGAATCCTAGCCCTGGACCAGAGATAAAGCACAGGAGCACCCAATGGTGCTGGGCATGCACCTAGCCTGGGCACGGACAGGCTGGGGTCAAGGACCTGACAGAAGCCTGGGGCATTGGATGGGAGATAATTTGCCTTTCTTTGAGTGCCTCAGGTGGGCATGAGTTCCCCTACCCTGGGGACAAGAGAGCAGGGTGATGCCATCTTCTACCTCTGCCCACAAGCTTAGTTGGACTTCAGTGAGCAACACAGTGCCAGTGGAAGCTGGAACCACTTACACCAAATCATGATCCCTTGTGCCCTGCAGGAGCATCTTTACTAGGGCAGATCTGACTGTGAGCCAGCATAGTGGGCCAACCCCAAGAGAATCAACAGAGGCTCCCTGCATGTACCAAGTCTACTGATCATAAAGTGCTCTGAAGGGTCAGCTTCAGTTCTGGTGGAAATAGGACCACGCTTTTTTTTTTTTTTTTCACCCTCTTTGGATCCAGGCTTATAGTTTTTTGTCCATTTGTTTGTTGTTTGTTCCCTTTTCTCATTTCTTGGATCAGGGTTTCTTTCTTTCTTTCTTTCTTTTTTTTTTTTTTTTTGGATCAAGCTTCTTTTTAAAATTTTTATAACTTTTTTTTTTATTTATTTGAGAAAAAGAGAGAGCACAAGCAGGGACAACAGCAGAGGGAGAGGAAGACTCCCCACTGAGCAGGGAAGCCAGACATGGGGTTTGTCATAGGACCCTGGGTCAATGAGCTGAGCCAAAGGCAAAGGCAAATGCCTAACTGACTGAGCCAAACAGGCAAACCCTCCTTTTTTTTAATTAAAATCAGATTTATCTTAACAGACAAATCAAAGCACACCTATTTAAATGTCCAAACACACCCCAAGCAAGGAGGAACTCTACAGAGGGCTGACCTGTGGCATAGAACTGCCAAAACACAACAGCAGAATCCACACAGCATACACCAGAATCACCTCCTGAAGCTCCAGGCCCTAGACAGCATATGACCCAGTATTACTCTTAGGAGCAGGAAACATAACAAGCTTTCATAATATGCAAAAGACAGAAACTTACACATAAGTTTAAGATGGAGGAATTCTCCCCAAAAGAAACCAGGAAGAAATCTCAGCCATGGATTTGCTCATAATAGATATAAGCAATATATCCAAACAAGAATTTAGAACAATGGTTATACGAATACTAACAGGGCTTGAAAGAAGCATAGAAAACACCAGAGAAACTCCAGCTGCAGAGATAAAAGACCTAAAAACTAGTCAGGCCAGAATAAAAAATGCTATAACTAAGATGCAACACTGACTGGATGTAAACATAATGAGGATGGAAGAAACAGAGGAACAAACAGGTGATAAAGAAGATAAAATTATGGGGGTGCCTGGATGGCCCAGTTGGCTGAGTAACTGACTCAATTTCAGCTCAGGTCATGATCTCAGGGTCATGAGATTGAACCCAATGTTGGGTTCCCTGCTGGGTGTAGAGCCAGCTTGAGATTCTCTCATCCTTTCCCTCTGCCCCTCTCCCTCCCCTTCTTAAAAAAAAAAAGATAAAATTATGGAAAATAATGAAGCTGAAGAGGGAAAGAAAACTATTAGATCATGAATATAGATTTAGGGAACTCAGCAATTCCGTAAAGTGCAATAATACCTGTATCATAGGAGTTCCAGAGAGAAGTGGGGCAAAAAGGGACAGAAGGTTTATTTGAGCAAATTGTAGCTGAGAACTTTCCTAATCTAGAGCATTCAAGTCCAAAAGACACAGAGAAATCCCCTCAAAATCAACAAAAACAGATTAACACCAATACATATCATAGTGAAACTTGCAAAATGCAAAAGTAAAGAGAGAATTCTGAAATCAGCTAGGAACAGAAGGTCCTTAACCAACAAAGGTTGATACATAGCAGAGACCCATCCATACAAACTTGGCAGGCCAGAAAGCAGTGACATGATATAGTCAACGTGGTGAATGGGAAAAATATGCAGCCAAGAATACTGTCTCCAGCAAGGTTGTCATTCAGAATAGGAGGAGAAATAAAGAGTTTCCAAGGCAAGCAAAAACTAAAGGAATTCATGAGCACTCAACCAGTTCTGTAAGATCTATTAAAGTTCTATAAAAACTATTAAAATTAAATTAAAGGGGACATTTGAGTGGGAAAGAGAAACCAAAATCAACAAAGACTAGAAAGGAACAGAGACAATCTGCAGTAACAGCAACTTTACAGGTGATACAATGGCACTAAATTCATATCTATCAATACTTATTCTGAATATAAGTAGACTAAATAGTCCAATCAAAAGAAATAGGTTATCAGAATGGGTAAAAAACAAGACCGATTGATATAGTGCATTTTAGACCCAAAGACACCTCCAGATTGAAAGTGAGGAGGTAGATAATCATTTATCCGGTTAATAGACATCAAAAAACAGCTGGAGTGGCCATACTTATGTCAAACAAATCAGAATTTAAGCCAAAGACTTCACTAAGAGATCAAGAAGGGCACTAAAATGCCCTGGAATGAACATCATTTCAAATAACAGTAACCTGGATTAAATAATAGCAATATCAGCACACAAAGAGTGCACTACAGTTAAAAAATATAGAAATATTTGATCTTTGTTCCTGACTTCTTAAAGACTTGGAATCTCTACTGTAATGAATCTCTTTTGTATGCTAACAAAATAATGGGTGACTGATGGCCCCTACTTAACTTCAAGATGGCTGCTGGTTGCCAGAAGAACCAACAATGTGATGAGAAGGTTGGAACTTTCAACTGTCTCCCTCCTATCTCCTTTAGGAAGGGGAGAGTGACTAGAGATGAGTTCATTTAATCAATCATGCATGCAAAATTGAACCTTCATAAAACCCCTTAATAACAGGGTTCAGTTTCAGGGTTAGTTTCCTAGATGGTTAACACATCAAGGTGTTAGGACGGTGATGAGCCCAGACAGGCCAAATTCCATCCTCCTTCCCCTATACCATGGCCCATGCTTCACTTCAATTTAGCTGTTCCTGAGTTGTATCCTTTATAATGAACTAGTTATGGTAAGTAAACCATTTTCCCCAAGTTTTGTGAGCCATTCTAGCAAATTAGCAAAAAGGAATGGGGTTGTAGCAACCACCCTCTTATAAAGAATAAAAGAGGCCCAGGAATTGGGATTAGTGTCTGAAGTGGGAGCAGTCCTATGGAACTGAACCCTTCACCTGTAGGTAGTTTCAGAATTGAATTGAATTGTAAGGTACCCAGCTGAGGTCAGGGGGTTGGAGACTGAGATGATGCAAGGGAAACCCACGTGCTTGGTGGCAGACAGGAACATGGTATTGAAAAATAGGAAGCACAGCATGGGGTCTGTGCTTACAAGATCTGCTTTGGTGATCCCCCTGAGAACCACAGGTCTAGTGGAACACACACACATACACACACACACAATCCAGTTTTAATGTTGCCTCGGTTTTTTATAAACTATCACTTAGGTGTACTTAGGTGCTTAACATTTATGTGCCTTGTGATTAGAACCTGAGAGAAATTGTGCAGTCACATAAAATAGAACCAAGCCCTCATTTATTAATGGTTTGTGGTCTAATTTTTTGTCATTTGTTTGGAAATTTAAACACAGGAACTATGTGTGTGTGTGGGAGGTGGGAGGAAATTCCTGCCAGCCAGTCTGCAGTGCAGAAAAGGACCAGCATCCCCATCATTCTCCTTCTTGGTCCCTTGAAGGTCATGTCAACTTAGCACAATCACACTAATCAACATGGAACTTGTCCCCCTTGAGATCATCTAAACCTTAAACACCAAACTCTTTCTGAGGTTTCCAACAGCTTATTCTCACCCCTGGGCTCCTTGCTAGTGTCTCAGCAGAGAGGAGGCCCCATTCACAGTTAACCTGCAAATATCAGTGCTACCGCATAGGGGAGACTACAGGCTGGAAGCTAGAAGTGCAGGAAATGGGAATCAGAGTGCACACTAAATTCAGAGATTAGTGAGGAAAAAGTTTTATGGGGAAGAGTTTTATGAGTTGGCTATTTCCAAGAACAGGGCCTGCCTCTTTCTTTCATTGAGTCTTCACTTTTGCTTCTTGGGCACATGAAGAATTTTCTTCCTATAGATTTGGCACACATGATATCTGTACAAATTTTGGTTTTGCCTAAGTATTTATCCCCAAGTAAGTTTATTCCAAAGTATTGAATTACCTTTGTAGGTATTGTCAATAAAGTATTTGCTTCTAGTATATTATGTGATTGTTATTTTGTTGTTAATTGCAAAAGACTTTCAGTTTTTATTCCTGGGATTTTTTTTCTGGTACATTATTAATTTGAAAACAATATATAAGATTAAATAAAATTGAATACAGATATCCTTATCTTGATTCTGACTTTAATGAGACTGTTTCTGATCTTTCTTCATTATGTATAATACTTAATGGTATGTATTACTAGGTTTAAAATGTTTCCAAATCTTTATATGTCACTTAAAAGTTTTTAATTAAAATAGATGGCAAATTTTATAACTTTCAATATGAAAATCTATATTTTTCTGTTGTTTAATAATAATACAGTAAATATTATAATAGATTTTTAAATGGATATATTTTTTCAAATGAAAATACCTTGATATCCTTGAAATAAAGGCTACTTATTCTTTGTACATTACTTTTTAAATTTATTATTTCTTGTGGATTTTTAGCTCATTATTACCCTCATTTTATGAAAAACTTAGAAAGTACTTTTTTTAGAAAGTATATTTTTTAATGTTCTGGAATTATTGAATAGCACCAGAACCATCAGTTCCGTAAAGATTTTGGTAGCATTTCATTCTAAGATCTGGTGATGATATTTTACATGTGTATGCGTGTGTCTGTGTGTATTTCTATGTGTCTGGTGAAGGGAAGGGGCTGTCAAAAATCTATGGGTGTCATAGATTTATGGCAACCATTTCCATTTTTTCCAAGTATCTAATACATGTAATTTATTTTTTCCATTACTCGTTTCATTTAATTTTTGTGTACTGTACAGAGTTATTTTATACTGCTAAATATTTCTTTACTTCTATTATCTAGTTTATGAGCTTCAAATAATCTTTTGTACCTCAACTATTAAAAATAGGGGCACAGGGGTGGCTCAGTCAATCTCAGCTCAAGTTTTAAAGATTTAAATGTAGGGATCCAAAGAGACAAATGCACCTGAATGTTTATAGCAGCAATGTCCACAATAGCCAAACCATGGAAAGAGCCTAGAGGTCCATCAACATATGAATGGATGCCTAAAGAAGAGGTAGTATATGTATATGTATATATATACACACACACACACAATGCAATACTATACAGCCATCAAAAAAACCAAAATCTTGCCATTTGCAATGATGTGGATGGAACTAGAGGGTATTATGCTGAGCGAAATAAGTCAATCAGAGAAAGACAATTATAATATGATCTCTCTGATATGAAGAATTTGAGAGGCAGGGCAGGGGTTTGTGGGGGTTGGGGGGGAAATGAAACAAGATGGGATTGGGAGACAATCTATAAGAGACTCAATCTCAAGAAACAAATGGAGGTTTGTTAGTGGGTGGAGGGGAGGAATAGGGTGGCTGGGCTATAGGCCTTAGGGATGTATGTGCTATGGTGAGTGCTGTGAAATATGTATGCATGATGATTCACAGACCTGTACCCTTGGGACAAATAATACATTATATGTTAATAAAAAAATTTAAACAAAAGAGTAAGAATTTGACTTGTAAATTTGAATGCCTTTTATTTCTTTTTGTTGTCTGATTGCTAAGGCTAAGACTTCTAGTACTAAGTTGAACAACAGTGGTGAGAGTGGACATCCCTGTTGTGTTTCTGACCTTAGAGGGGATGCTCTCAGTTTTCCCCATTGATAATGGTATTCACTGTGGGTCTTTCACATATGGCTTTTATGATATTGAGGTATTTTCCCTCTATCCCTACACTGTAGGGAGTTTTAATCAAGAAAGATTGCTGTATTTTGTCAAGTGCTTTTCCTGCATCTATTGAGAGGATCATATGGTTCTTGTCCTTTCTTTTATTAATGTGGTATATCACAATGATTGATTTGTGGATTGAATCACTCTTGCAGCCCAGGAATAAATCTTACTTGGTCGTGATGAATCATTTTTTTTTAAAGATTTTATTTATTTATTTGTCAGAGAGAGAGAGGGAGAGAGAGCGAGCACAGGCAGACAGAATGGCAGGCAGAGGCAGAGGGAGAAGCAGGCTCCCCGCCAAGCAAGGAGCCCGATGTGGGACTCGATCCCAGGATGCTGGGATCATGACCTGAGCCGAAGGCAGCTGCTTAACCAACTGAGCCACCCAGGCGTCCCGTAATGAATCATTTTTTTAATGTACTGTTGGATTCTATTGAGTAGTATTTTGGTGAGAATTTTAGCATTCATGTTCATCAGGTATATTGATCTGTAATTCTCCTTTTTGGTGGGGTCTTTTCTGGTTTTAAGATCAGGGTAATGCTGGCCTCATAGAATGAGTTTAGAAGTTTCCCTTCCATTTCTATTTTTTGAAACAGCTTCAGAAGTGTAGCTATTAAGTCTTCTTTAAATGTTTGGTAGAGTTCCCCTAGGAAGCCATCTCACCCTAGACTTATATGTTGGGACTTTTTTGATTACTGCTTCTATTTCCTTGTTGATAGTTATGTGTTTGTTCAGGTTTTCTATTTCTTCCTGTTTCAGTTTTGGTAATTCATATGGTTCTAGAAATTTCTCCATTTCTTCCAGATTGCCCAGTTTGTTGGTGTATAGTTTTTCATAATATTCTCTTTTAATTGTTTGTATCTCTTTGATGTTGGTTGTAATCTCTCTTGTTTCATTCATGATTTTTTATTTGGGTAATTTCTCTTTTCTTTTTGGTAAGTCTGACTAGGGGTTATTGATCTTATTAATTCTTGCAAATAATCCAGTCAGAAGACATGAACAGACATTTCTCCAAAGAAGACATACAAATGGCCAATAGACACATGAAAAATGTTCAACATTACTTGGCATCAGGGAAATAAAAATCAAAACCACATTGAGATACCACCTCACACCAGTCATATTGGCTAAAATTAACAAGTCAGCAAACAACAAATGTTGATGAGGATGCAGAGAAAAGGCAACCCTCTTACACTATTGGTGGGAATGCAAGCTGGTACAGCCTTTCTGGAAAACAGTGTGGAGGTTCTTCAAGAAGTGAAAAATAGAGCTACTCTATGATCCAGAAATTGTACTACAAGGTATTTACCCCAAAGATACAAATGTAGTGATCTGAAGGGACGCCTGCACCCCACTGTTTATAGCAACAATGTCCACAATAGTTTCCACAAACTGTGGAAAGAGCCCAGATGTACATTGACAGAAGAATGAAAAGAGAAGATGTGAGATATATACACATACACACATAATACACACACACACACACACACACATACAAATACATACACACACATACATACATTCAATGGAATATTACTAAGCCATCAAAGAAGATGAAAACTGACCATTTACATTGACATGGGTGGAACTGGAGGGTATTATGCTGAGTGAAATAAGTTAACCAGAGAAAGACAATTATCATATGGTTTCATATGTGGAATATAGGAAACAGTGCAGATGATCATAGGGAAAGAGAGGGAAAATTGAATGGAAAGAAGTCAGAGAGGAAGATAAACCATGAGAAACTCTTAACTATAGAAAACAAACTGAGGGTTGTTAGAGGGGAGGTGGGTGGAAAGATGGGGTAAATGGGGTAATTGGGTGATGGGCATTAAAGAGGGCATGTGATGCAATGGGCGCTGGGTGTTTTGTGGATCTGATGATTAGCTGAACTCTACATCTTAAACTAATCATGTACTATATGTTGGCTAATTGGATTTAAATAAAAAAGTATTAAATTGAGTTTTGAGTTCTTAGTTGATTTTAACATTAATAGCCTTAGAATTTTCTAACACAAGCTCTCTTATGTATGGGCGTAGAGGAACTCAAAATCACCCCACACATTCAGATGAACATGAAGAAAGAAATTGGGATAGTTTTCTATGATATATTTCAGGAATTTGTTCCCAGGAAAATATTCTGAAATGGTGATGACTGAAGGAAGACTGTGTCTTGCTAATAACAGTATATTACCTTGGAGCAGAAGGTCTATATTCAGATCCTGATTTTGCCACTCACTGGCTATGTAACCTTGAGATAATCTTTTACAACTTCGCATTCATGTTAGGCTTCTAGTTAAACCATCCTTTTTAAAGACAATTTCTTCTCTGAGGAAGAGGCAAAGACAAAATTCAAAGGACAATTTTGAAAGTTTTAAATTCCAGTCATAATTTTCATTGTAAATTAGAGAATGAGATATGAACCATAGCAAATCCAAACTAATCACAGTTTGAACATAAGAAATGGCCTTGATGGAAACTATTATTTCTGGTGAAAACCTTCCATTAAGTAAGTATGCTCTGTCAAAATAATATGGCAAAAGGATTTAAATATTTTTTTCTTGTCTTCTATTTTGAAATCTCATAGTTTTTTTTTTTTAATCTCAAGCCATTGCTAGTTGGATTACTGAAAACCCATTCTCTGAAAAAGCTGACATTTCATCAATATGATGGAAATTTGAGCTCCTATATATAGTTCCTTAACTGGGATAATAACAGGCTTTTGAAGAAGAAAGCTTAGCTAGGAAGTTTGATAGTTAGAAAGCTTTGGCTGTGAAAAAAAATATTTTTGTATGATGAATTTTCTTGGTATTAAAAGGAAAATTCTGCCTGCTAATGATTTAAGAACTCCCAACTGAAAAACCAACTAATCTTTGCAAAAGTAGTTTGCAAAATGAGCTTGTAATGTGAGATATTTTATCCTAGAAAATGTACTAATGGTTATATATCTTTAAAACCCACAAAACTTATGTAATTGCTTGTATAACCAATGTTAACTTTTAAAAAAAATGCATCTAGAAATTAAGTGATCAAGGAAAAACTAATAAATTTAACAAAGATTAAGAAGTTATATCAATCATTATTCTTGGTTGTAAGACCCAGCAATGGATCCTGGTTAGCTTCAGAATTTATTGGAAGAGCACTCTGTGGTTTATGAGATCCAACACAAGGATAGAAGGAGGCTTGGAAGCAAGATAAGAACATGGACAGTAAGGCCTGAGGCAAGGACACACCCCTGGGAATGCTCCTGAAGGTCATGACACTCCTAAATCTCAGCACTGCAGACCCTGGACTACATACATTTGTCATAAATAATTTGACTCTGATTTTGTTCATTTAGAAAAACTTTGAGTTAATGGCATTGATTACTTTGGAACCTTTTCCTTTAATGAAATATTTTTAGGAAAGTCTAGAAAGTTACCTCCTTATGTAAGGGTAAATTCTTTATTTTTGTTTTTGTTTTTCGGTTGTTTTTTTATTATTTTATAATATTATTGGCATCAAGTATTAGTAAATACATGATATAGACTTGCAATAAGGAAGGGAATAAGATTGGAGGGATAATTTGACTCACCAGAAAACAGCAGTTTTATAGATATTCCCAAGTGGAAAACAGGAAAATAGTAAAACATACTGAAATAGTCTAAATGATTTTACTGTGACCATTTAAACCCAACATGAAGGCATCTGAGTGGCTCTGACAGTTAAGCAGCTGCCTTCAGCTCAGGTAATGATCCCGGAATCCCAGGATCAAGTCCCAAACTGGGCTCCCCATTCTCCCTTGGACTCTCCCCTCTCTCATGCTCTCTCTCTTTCTCACATTCTATCTCAAATAAATAAATAAAATCTTTAAAGCCAGCATGAGAGCGTCATATTTTATGTCTCCAAGAACAACATAGAATAGAATGGTGGCATCTTATGTACTCTGAGCCCTTAGTGGGAGAAGATCCCGTTCAAAATCACAACTTGCTGTCTCTCAAGGGCATTTCTGGACTCAGCTCCTTTCCCTAAAAATTATCTGGTATCACAACGAGCTTAGTACATGCAGAATTGAAGCATAACCACAATAGCATCTATGAATTAAGCATCTTCTCTGTGCCAAGTAATTTCCATAGGTCCAAAATATCACTAACTTCTCATACCAGCTCCATAATTAGATGGAATTTCCCTGTTTATAAGAAACCAAAGACCTACAATTTACAGTACTAAAACCCTAGGCTTCATGATGCTTTTGAGAAATCAATTAAGAAATTCATGGTTGTAACAGAAATTAAGAGTCGCCATTTAGTTCTTATTTAGAAAATCATTAGCCAACTAAAATATATATTTAGATTTTTATGCACATGGACTATGGTTATAATTGTATATGGTTTATCTTATTTAATTTTTCAGAAGTCCATTTTCTAAGGTCTGTACTATTATAAACATCATTCTATATTTGCAGAAATGGAGCACAGAAATATGAAGTGATCTTTCCAAACTTATGAGTAAGTAAAGGATTAACTTTTATTGGAATGTAATAAAGTTATTTTCAATTTTCATGTTCTAGACCAGTGGTTGCCAACTAGGGAAAATTCTTTTCTAACCTGAGAGGTAATGAAAACAGTTGTGAAAAACAAACTAACAGTTGAAATCTTGCTCTTAAGATATGGCTACTTAATCCTCCTACATTTTAAGTTGGAACAATTTTAGGTGGTGGCTTCTCAGGTGAAACCCCTGCAGTTCTCTTTCTTGCAGACTTTGGCTCCTCAATCCATTGCATCCAACTCACGAGGCTCATTATATACCCCAAATTGCTTTCCTTCACCACTTCAGTTGAAATTTAGGTGATATTCTTGCATTGTCTCAAACTGCATTCTGTTAAAACCTTTAGCAAAATGAAAGCACATATTTTTGTTACTCTCAACTTTCTTTTATGACTTTATTCCAAGATTTTTCAGAATACTTGATTAAAATGCGCATGTTCTGATTGTTCCAAAATTCATTAGGCATTATCTTTTTTCTCTCTCTTTCTCTCTCTCTGTCTCTCTGTTTGTGTTTATCCATGTCCAAATTTGTCAAAGAAACAGAATAAAAGGGTGGCTACCAGAGTGAGGAAAATGAGGAGATGCTGGTCAAAGGGTCCAAACTTCCAATTTAAAGGTGAATAAATTCTGGGGATGTACTGCACAGCATGGTGACTACAGTCAGTCTGAACATTGCTAAGAGAGTAGGTCTTAAATATTGTTACCACATACACACATTATAATTATGTGAGGAAATGGATGTTAACTAACTTTATTGGAGCAATCATTTTGCAATATATATCTCTATCTGAGCATCATGTCGTACATCCTGAACTTACAAAACGTTTATATGTCAATTATATCTCAAAAACCTGAGCAAGGAAAGCTGTAATCCTTAACTGACTATGCAACCTCTTGGTACAGTGGCTCTAATAATATTTGCAAACTAGGAAGACCACTTTTTGAAAAACTGGATCTCTTGGTTGGTGTGTTATAGATTAGAGATTCCTAACATTATCTTAGAGGATGAGACTGTAGAAATTTTCAGCATAGAATTAAATGACAACATGTTTTGTGACTACAGTGTCCTGCCTAAAAGTAAACTTGCACACAATTGTATTTTCAACATACCCATTTAAAAGCAGCTGTAGTCTAAGGCAACACAAAGCATGTAAAACACAAGTTATACTGTTTGAAAAGACAAGAGCTTAATAATTCTCTTGAAGTTTCAGTATCTAGAACTGCTCCACTTATTCTGGAATTCTAGGATGTTTATGGTCGAGAGAACTCCAGTCGGCAGGAAAGCACAGATACTTCTCTTCACATTCACTTCAAGTTTCTGGTTTCTTACGCCCTGTGCATAGTTCATTCTTATGTAAGAGAATTGGTATCTTCACATGTAAGGAACTTTGGTCATTTTGGGAAATTACTAAATTCTATCAAATTCAGAGATAACCCCTAAAACCTCTATGTTATGTAACACATGTTAGTTAGGGTTCTCCAGAAAAATAAAACTAATAGGAGATGATAGATGGTAGATAAATAGACAGATGATAGATGGATAAATAAATAAATAGATGATAGTAAAAAGTAAAATAATTCCTGTTCCCCTAAGGTGTTGTCAACCAGATTGGCCCTATGATGAAACACAGATGGATCAAGTGATGTGTGGGACCCCACACATGGCTCAAGCCCAGGGTAGGAATCATACCATTATTAGTAAGTAGTACAGAAATCTGGACTCATCCTGTGTCTGATTTGAAAGTCATCCAAAATCAGCATGTTAGTACTATCTGGTGGTCCAATCTTGCATGAATATGCAAAAGAAGCAATGCACTAGCCAGGACATCCCCCATGAACTAAGGCTTAGCAATACAGCTTTAGATTTCTCACAGGTGTAGGCCTGAAGGTCTTTGGGCATCTGGTCAACTCCCACACAGTGGGTTTAGAAAGTCTGCTGAAGGGGAGAGATGGATACCAAGGCCCATACTGCACAGGTGGTATTATCAGAGCAGACCAATCCCAGATATCAGAGGAGAACTTAGAACTCCCAAGTGAAAGCACTCTGAAGTGGGAGAGGGTTGTATCTGATGTAGGGGCTGGGATCAGAACCTCTCTTGCTTAGATCAAGCGTGGTGTTGGTCGGATAAATTAAATTATTCAATTTAATCAATATTCAGCCAAAGCAGTTAGACTCCAGAGAATGTTGTCTTTACAACTCCACTGAATTATTTAACAAAGAAAATGATTTTTTGATAAGAGCAAATAATCATTCTGCAATTTAAGAGTATGTATAACTCTGTTTACTTGTAATAAATATTATTAGGAGTTATTACCTAATTTATCTCTAAAGCTAGAAAGTTAGTTTATTTCTAACTATTCCTTTGTACTTTTTTCTTTGAAAGTGATTTTTTTCCTTTTTATGAAAATAAATATTAAAGTGAATCAATAAGGCAATCAATTACATTATATGTATTATGAACCTTAAGCAAGGAAAAAGTTTTATGCTTTCAGAAACAAACTTGGCATCACTTCCATTTTATATTTTAGAATATCTAGAATATTCTGAAGATTCTACACAGTTCAAATCATAATACTCAAGCCCTTAGTGTGGTGCAAAATCCCTTCACAAACTGCCTTACATACATCTGAGCCTATCCTCAGTATCCAGGTGAGACTCTTTGCCTCTGTGCACCCCACTCCTGCCATGAACAAACATTTTTCTGGCCCTGAGAACCTGGCTCTTTTCATAGTTCAATGTAACAGTCATATTTACTAGTGTTTTACTTTCAGGAATAGGACAATGTATTTTCTTTTCTATTTTTCAGTACTATCTAAATTTTCTTTGAAGAAAGAAAAAAAAACAGTTGCTTGTAATTGGAACACTATGAACTTAAGGGTACAAATATGGACAATATATATTTTGTTAAATTATTGACCTTTAAGCATTTTTGAAATTTGAAAAGGAATGTAATACTGAAAAGTGCACAAAGTATTTAAATAGACTTTAGATACTGAATAAATCTTTTACTTTAATTTCTTTGTTATTATGAGCAGAAAGAGATCCTGAGAAAAGAAATATATTTCATTGACAATGACTCCAAATAAAGTAGTAGCCTTCATAAACCAAAAGCATGGTGATGAGGAGAGAGAGGGGGAAAATATCCCAATATTTTGAAGGCTCTTGTGGTAAGATAAATACTCTCATTTGTCATTAATGTAATGCTATATCCATGTTGTTAGCAGTTTAAGCCAAAATTTTGAGCCCCAGGTATGTTAGGTTATAGAGAATCCCCGTGGAGAAAATGGAAATGGCTTTTGTCTATGTTAGTATTGATTTCAGTTGTATGGTGAACAATTTGACCTGTCTTGTGAAGTTCTTAATGGTTAATTCTACTGTTCTCATCACAGAACTCTTAGCACACGCAAAAGATGTCTGATCAGACTGTCAACAACGCGTGAAGCACACTGGGGCATAACAGAAAGAGCACTGGACTCGGAGTCAGAAGGTGTGGATGTGATTTTAAAAGCTTCAGTATCCTGGGCTGTAACATGAAAGACCCTAACAAGATACTATCTGCTATCCTTCCAATCTACAAAATTTTAACTTCATTGATTCTTACAGTAATCAGAAACATGTTATTTTTTCAGCTTCTGTGGGTCACATAATTTTTGCCTTCAAACTTATCTACATGCTTAAGCTTGTTGGTGTTGATTGGCATTTGCTTATTCATTGAGATTAGGTTCCACACATTTACATAAGTTTACTCACAGATGAGTAAATTATAAAGTATGGCGGCTATCTTCAGTTAGATTACTTAGATGTTGCCAAATCTCCACTTCACTTGGCTCAATGAGCTAAACTCAAGCTCACTTTGTGATTAGGTATAGATTTATGACATACAGCTGACTTCCACAAAATTAGTCGTCTTACATAAGAGACGCATGATTAATTGCATCATTATTGAATATATTTCACTCACATAGATGATCTTCAGGGAGAATCAGACTCAAAAGTTAATCTTGTTTGGATTGAACTTTCAACAACTTTCATAACTGCATGTTACTGAACTCCATCTATTTATTCCAAAAAAAAAGTAGTGATCAAAGTCATTTATGTGTGTTATGGTAGTTGCTGTGAAGGTATTTTGTCTATGAGATTAACATCTACAATTGGGTGACTTTAAAGGAAGGAGATTGCCCTCAGTGATGTGGGTGGGCCCCCATCCAATCAGTCAGAGACCTTAAGAGAACAAACTGAAGTGTCTGTAAGAAGAGCTTCTGCTTCGTGAATGTAAAATAGAAAAATTCTGTCCAAGTTTCTAGCTTGCTGGCCTGCCTATCAATTTTGACTTGCCAGGCAACCCCATGAGCTGATTCCTTTAAAAATCTCTCCTATAGGGGCACCTAGTGGCTTAGATGGGTGACTGCCCCTCTCTTGATCTCAGCTCAGGTCTTGATCTCAAGGTCGTTAGTTCAAGCCCCATGTTGCTATGCCCATGGAACTGGGTGTAGAGCCTATTTAAAAAGAAAATTTCATATACATGTATTTTATAATACATATTTCTCCAGAGAAATAGAACCATAGGCTGCCTATATAGCATAAAAAGAATAACTGATGTCCATGGAATGATCACCTTAATTCTTTCAACCTACACAGGCCATTTAAATATAGTCAGACCTCTGGATATGTGAAAAGTTGTTCTTTTATTTACTTCAAATGACAAGTGGGTCAGATAGCTCATTAAAAGCTGCTGTTAATAGTGGTGTTTACTCTTCTAAATCAGACATTATGCAGGTTTTTTTTTTTAAAGGCCCATCTCAAGGTGGTGGCAACCAACGTATCTATTCATTTCTCTGCTACTTTGCCAGCACACAAGAAGATGGAATCACTGAAGTGTAATCCAGGATGTTTCCACAAGTCTTTAGTGATCACAAGCAGAGTGCCACCAAGACTTAGGACCTCAGCTCAAAACTGAGCTCAGTTTGCAATATTTTGAACCAGAATTACATATATTATATGGTACATTTTATTCCAGAATTTAGAAAAAGAAAACTAGATAACAATTGCAAGTTCTCCAATGTCTAAAGAAACACAATCTAAGAAAATGAAAAACTACTTGATGAAATCAGAAATGATTTTGCAACAGTTTTGCCATGTAATCTGTGATTTGATTAAAAAAAAACTCTTGAAGATTACAAAGACAAAAAATAATCTGATAACTGATCACTTGAACTCTATCTAATATGTCTTGGCTTCTTCACAGACATCAATGCATGTATTCAGTTCTAATTCACTGAATGCATACATTTTGTTTTCCATTTCAGTTTGCATTAATACTTGTATCAGTTAGCATTCTCCATAGAAGTAGAACAATAGATTAGATATATACTCCAATTAGTTCTACTTCTCTGGAGAAATATATATATCATAGATATATCATAGACTTGTTTTAAGACGATTTCCTTTATGAAGATAGATTTGAAAGACAGATTTAAGGAATCAGCACATGCAATTATAAAGGATGGCATGTCTAAAACTAATAGGGCAGTCCAGGAAGCTCCAATTTGGGGCAGAACTTTCCTATTTTACAGTCTTGAAGCAGAATTCTATCATCCAGAAAGTTTCTTTTTCTGTTTCAGAACCTTGTTTCTGCCTTGTTAGGGGATCAATTTTCATTTTATATTGGTAACTGAGGACTGCCCTTATAACTACCAGGTGCTGATTGATTTGCCTCTTACTGGCAAATTCATCCAAAAGTGGGTTAGGATTCAGATATTTGATATCAACAAATTTAATGTGATAATAATAAAAAAGGTAATGGGGTAATTTTGGAACTCAACAAACTATATTTAAAGGTTATTTGGACCTGGTGGTGGGTATTATGGGAGGGCATGTATTGCATGGAGCACTGGGCATGGTGCATAAATAATGAATTCTAGAACACTGAAAAGAAATTAAAAAAAAATAAAGGTTATTTGGAAAAACAAACATGCAAGAAGAGATAAGGAAAATCCTGAAATAGAAGAGCTATGAGGGAATTAATGCCAACAGATAACATTCATTAAACATCTAGAGTAAAATATCAGTTTCTCATTTCTCCTATAACAAATTACCACAAATTTAGTGATTTAAAACAATGTGAATTTATTGTCTTACAGTTCTGGAATTCAGCAGCTCAGAATGGGTCACCAGGGCTAGGTTCTTCTAGAAACAATTAGGGAGAATCTTTTTTTTTTTTTAATTTGAAAAAAATTTTACTTTCTTTTGCTCTAGAGAGAGCACGCATGAGCATGAACGGAGTGGGGATGGGTGAAGGTGATTAAGTTCTAGAAATCTGCTGTACTACATAGCGCCTATAGTTAACAATGCCATATTTGCAATTCAAAATTTGTTAAATGGGTCTATCTCATATTAAGTGTGCTTACCACAGGAGAAAAAAAAAAGCAAGAAAAAAGAAAAAGGCAAAGTCATGAGGAAACTTTGGTAGATAAGGTATCACAGGCATATACATATGTCCAAACTCATCACACTGTGTACATTAAATATGTACTATATAGATAGATAGATAGATAGATGATAGATAAAGATCTATCTATCTATAGACATCTATATATATCACCATATTTTAAAAATACACGGCCTGAGTCAAAATATGGAAAAATAGAAACTTAACATATATTTTGGCTTGGAGTGTAAATCAGTACAACTTTTTAGGAGAGACATTTATCTCTTTCAAAGAGACTTTCTTTGAAAGTCTTTCAAAGTATTTTTCAAAACTAAATTTCGGGTGCTTTTTGATCTAGCACTTCAACTTTGTTATAAAACTCCTTAGGGAATTTCTCAAAAGGTGTCTGAAGCCCTGGGTACCATCCGACAGTGATTATCTCTTCTCTTGGGAGCAGGGGACTAATAGACTGTGACTATTTTGGCTTTATACAAGCTGTGCCAGGTCTCTATGTCACTTTCAAAAATTACTCTTTATTTCTGTACTACTGGAAAATCCATAGCATTTGCAAATCTCTTTTTATTTAAAAATCCTGCTTTCATATTGGTAGTTTAGTCTCAATACATGTATTAGAAATTTGTTCCTTTCTCTTCTAACAAGGAAAAGAAGGTTTTGATTGGATCCCACCCCTGGTTGCTCCCTGCAGAGAGTAACAAATAATTATGCTAATTGTGTCACTTGACGGTTTCTCAGTTGCTCAGTTGTAGGGTGAAGTGAAGTCCCTGACCTGTCTCCACCTGAGTGAACAGAGCTATTTCTATGGCTTGGGTGGAGGGAGTTCAGCTGACTGCAGACCTACCTTTCAGGTAGAAAGTTGGAAGCTAATATTATTTGACATTGCATTTGAAAAATGATAACTGATCTATGAAACATTTTGAGCAGCCTATGTCTCTTTGTTATATAGGATGATCTCCAAGAAATACTTTCAAGTGAAAAAGCAAGGAGCATATTAGCATGCATAGTATCCTCCTAAATATATATAAAAGTGTGGATCTAGATTTTTATATGCCCAGAATATTTTCATAAACCAATACACAAAAAATTGAAAACACTGTTTACATTTGAGGTGGGGGTCTGGGTTGCTGAGAGTCTGAAGTGAAGGGAGATACACATTTTGTCATATGTGTACAGTGTTTGAGATTTTTACCATGTGCTACTATATAAGTTAAAGAAAGTTAATTAATAAAAAGCAAATAAGTTCAATTATAGCTGGTATTATCTCTTAGTTTCATCCATGATGTTGCAAGAATGGCAAAGTCTTCTTTTTTTAAGGCTGAACAATATTCCATAGTGCATATATACCACAATTTTTTTTTTATCCTTTCATCTCGATGGATATTTAGATGGTTTCGAGATCTCAGCTACTGTGAATCATGCTGTAATGAACATGGAAGTGCAGATATCTCTTCAAGGTACTAATTTCATTTCCTTTGGACATATATCCAGAACAGGTATTATTGGATTATATGGTAGTCCCATTTTTAATTTGTTTCTGTTTGTTTTTAGACCATCATAAATTGTTTATTAGGTAAGAATTTTACAAACATGGCCTATGTTAGTAAAAGTGGAATCAGACAGTATTGGATCTTCTCCAACCTGAAGGACAAGACCCACCAAGAGTATGAGGGAACTGTGGCCCATCTTAACACCACAGTTGTTGCAGCCTGCGGATGTCAGATCTCACATCTGTCTGTGCTTGTGGACTGCTTTGGTGATCCATTCTGGACCAAGATTTCTTCTGATAGTTTTATGCAATGAATCAATGAGGATACCCTCAAAGAATTTGTGCATGGAATCTTCACTAATTGAATAAGAACTCAAGACTCTAAGAGCCCCTGTAGTGGTGTCCTGCTCTCTCCTGGACAACAGACTGAAGGCTTTGAGCAAACTAGCTGGTTAACACCATGATGGACAGGCTTCCTGTAGGTTACATCCTTAGGAA